TCCACCACTCCATGTTGTGTGTCCATTCCTTCAACAGGTATTCAGTTTGGGTTCACCACCTTATCTGTGGCCTCTTTCCAGTGGCCCCTCTGTTGGCTCTGGAGAACAATATATTGGAAATCAGAGTGGGTACATGAAAACTTGACTACCCAGTATAGACGCATGGTGCCAGAAAAAACCCAGGACATCACAGGGTGGCAGCCCACCATGCAAGGAACAGCAATTCTGGCTGTGGTGGACCAATGTGAGTAAAAAGTCTTCATTGGGTGAAGACCTAGAAAAGTCCAAAAATGCATTGGCGTTGCTTCCTAAGGAATCTAGTGTTGGGTATTGTTTAATATGAGAGGGAGATGCTAACACTATCATCGTTATAAACAACATATTTGTTGTAAATATAATTGTTATTATTTTTAATATATTTTCTTTATAATTATTATTTGTGACTTACAAGAGCTCTTACAGAGGCAGTTGTTAAGAAGCGTGGCCATTATACTGTTGCTGAAGAGTTAATTCAGTAGAAGCCTGGTAATAGTATTAATAAGTACTCGCTCTTTTGATCCTCACATGACTATAAAGGTTACCCAGCAGTGCTTGTATAATGGAGATAGAAATCTATCTGTTTAAGAGTTTGTAGAACCTAAAATAAGAGCAGTCATTCCACCGTATTTGACCATATATTCCAGACTGTCAGTTTAAAGTAGGATCTACCTGATGAGGCCATAGAAACCCTTTGTGCATCCCTAATCATTCATTACCTTCCTGGTCCCCTGGGGCAGAGGTTCTTCCAGAAGGTGGTCACATCTCTCCTCCCCACCCTACTCTTTGCCTTTGCTACCCACTGTTGGTCATTAGCTAAGCATCCTCATGTCCTGCATGTGTCTGAGCTGTGAGGGAACAGAACTCAGCTGTTTACAAACTGTAGTGATTATGACCAGACTGAGCAGTCTCTCTCCTTCCCTGCCCACACCCCCACAGGGCAACAGGGGGCTCACAACCACAGCGATTCCCATGCCAGCCCATCAGGGAGCCTTCTTCCCTAGAAATGTTCTTACAACCAGGGCTGTTTCCTCCCTTACTTCACTGCCAGTTTCACTCCCAGTTTACAGTCCCCAACAAAAGGCTATCCCAGTTTGAATTTCTTAATCAAGTCACATTGACCCTGAGTCCCTGGCATTTTCCTAGGAGCACTCATAGAAACAGAACAGGGCCTGGCAGTGGCTGTGGTCCAGGTTCCTGGGTGAGGGGACTTGCTGGGCCCTTCAGGTTCTGTAGCATGGCCTGAGCTCAGCTCCCAGCACAGCGTCTTCCCATCTGCATGATTTCAGGCCAGGCTTCAACAGTTCAGAGCTTCATTTTATCATCTGCAAACAGAATAATTCCCTGCTGCATATTTTAAGACTGTTATGTACCACAAAGGGTGCTTAGGGAATTCAGTGATTCAATGCATGGAAGTCACACAACCTGGTCCTCAGGGAATGTTAGTTATCTTCGTTAAGCCCCATCGATAAATTTGGCTGCACAGACTTGGCCAGGTTTCAAAGCTACAGGCACAAGAATTTGACAATATGTCACTGTCTGGATCATAGTCACAAATTTACACAGTAAAACAGGCTACCTGGGACCACCCAGCTGTCAGCCCACCCGACTCCCCACCCCAAGATCCCTCAATTTATCTGATTGGCTTGCTACCCTTACTTTTTGGAGAAAGTTGGCAAATCCCCCACAGTCAATGACTGCTAGGTTATGTCCATTCCCATTCACTCAAATTGCCCCATTTTCAGTATCCACTGTGCTGCAAAACATAGACTAATGTTCAGAAATATGACAGCAAGGCCTTTCCTGTTCCATAGTCAGAGAAGTATGAATCTGTCATGTTTAATATGCCATATGACACTAAGCAAGGCAGGAAAACAGGCTCCTGAACTTTAAGAAAGTTTTTAACAATGACGTTTGAAACTAAAAGTGTTTTTGCTGGACCTTCAGCTAACCAGAAAATTCAATTGACTCCTGTTCCCCATTACTCAGGTGTTGTGGTTTGACTGTATTAGGCACCTCTTCCTCATCTCCCCAGCATAACTTTGCTCCATCAGCACAGATGGAGTGTCTCCAAGGCTGCTTCGTGTGCACGGGCGTGTGCATGCACACATGTGCCCCCATTGATTGGTGCCACTGATTCATATCCAGGGGTTGTTCTGTCTTATAACTCAAGCATTGCTTTATTATATCCCAGAAAACTGCTTTTAGATCATTGATTGAACTATAGACCATCCTCTTGCCCACATTAGGAAGTGACGTCTTCCAAGACACAGGTCCTGTGTGCTTGTATATATGTATAAGTAAGAATTAAATATGCATGTCATCCCCTCACATATTTAATTTTTCCCTTCCCAATTGAATGTGCACAGTAAAGGCTAACTTCCCATAACAGGAGAACTTTTAGGAAGTAAGAAGAAGGAATTAGACACCAGGGAGAAGACAGGATATCAAGCAGGAGTATGGTATAAAGTCATTTATTCTAAAGCTCTGGCTCAATAAATAAGTGGAATTGACATTGCTGTATCATGCCAGAGCATCTGCTATTGAAGACCGATTTTAATTTACCTTGATATAAGTGGAAAATTGTGTCGGAACAGCATGGGAAATGAAGAAAACTGCATCTATCAGTACTCCAGAAGTGTGTCACAGAGCTGCTCAGTTTTGAGGAAAATTAACTTGTTTGGAGACAATAGAATTATTTTCATTGTTGGAATTTTTGTAGCTTCCAGAAGCACAACTGCAGGTGATTCTGTAAATGTCTAGAGTTGACTTAAATAGCAGGAAATTTTACCCTATTGAAATCAGGAGAAGTGAAATATTTTTGCCCACCACTACCACCACCACCACCAGGCAAGCACGTGTACACCCAGAGAGATTTCACATCAGAGGGAATGACAAAGCTGGTTCTGTTACCGAGGCCAAACTTTTTCTGCTCGCTGCACAACAGTGATAAATAAATAAATCAGGAGACAAAGTTTTGGGGCAAGGAATAGTAAATTTATTCAGAAAACTGGCAGACCAAGAAGATGGGGGACTAATGTCCTCGAGAATCATCTTTCCCAAGTCAGAATTCAGGCTCCTTTTAAACTAAAAAGGGGAGGGGGTGTGGTTGGTTGTGCAAACTTCTTGCTGCAGGCATTCTTTGTTCTTGCAGCTGTCCATGTGGGTCAGGCTATGGTGAACCTCTAAGCCTCCAACAAAACAAAGGTTATTCTCTATTTTGCAACTTGCTATCTCTGCGTAAGTGCAGAAGTGCTAACATCCTTAAAGGTCAGAGCCCTGAGAATAGGCTTTCCTGTAGATTTTAGGCTAAAGGC